GGCCAGAGGCAGCAAAAAAATGGAAGCATCCCAAATCAGTGGCCACTTTTGAGCAATCTGTCCCTGATGTTTTGTTGTATGGGTCTCATGGCATCTCTTTACCGGGCCTGGGTTCAAAGCCAGGAGGGCAAATTCTAATTTTGACACAATCTCTTACACAGCACTAGTTGCTTTGGTGGTGATTTGGGCTGTGCTGTTTTAAAACATGTTATCCTTTCATTTAACCCACTTTAGATACTACAGAAATGAGGCTCCTTTGTGCAAGGCATTGTATGTTGCGTAGTAAGAGACAGTAGCTCTACTGGAAAGCTTACAGACTAAATTGGCAAGACAGTCCAAGGAAGGAAGTTGACTTGCACAGAATCATGCTGCAGGTAAGTGGTAGAATCAGTTCAGGCCATTGTAGCCCTTTACTCACTAGCCCATATGTTTGGCTGAAATGGCAATTAACAACAACAGAATAATAAAAATCACTTCTCTCTCAACACGTTTCACTTTCTTAGGACCTTTGAACTCATTATCCTAGTAGCTCTCCAGTTAACCATAGGGCTCCAGGTAGAAAAGACCCAAAGTTCTGAGATATGAAACAGGCAGGAAAAAGCAATTAACTGAAAAAAACCAGGCCTTTAAACACAACAAAGAAACAAAAAAGAGCATTTTTTTATCATTTGCAGATCACATTTTATTCCATATTTAAATTTCCAATAAACAGATGATCAGATCTATTTAAAAAGAAATACTAAGGCATATGAGCACTGGTGTTGCTTTCAATGGCTACATAAAGTTACTCAGATACTTAAACAACGAGGAGTCCAGTGGCACTGAGACTAACAGATTTATGAGGGCGTAAGCTTTCATGGGTAAAACCCACTTCATCAGGTGAACTGGAGTGAGTTACAGAGGCAGGGTGTACATGCTGTGTTAATGAGGTTTTACCCACAAAAGCTGATGCACAAATAACTCTGTTAGGGTATGTTTACACTACCACCCTAGTTTAAACTAGGGTGGTTAATGTAGGCAACTGAAGTTGCAAATGAAGCCCGGGATTTAAATATCCCGGGCTTCATTTGTATCTTGCCAGGCGCCGCCATTTTTAAAGCCCCGGTAGTTAGGACTCCGTGCCCACGGCTACACGCGGCATGGAGTAGGTAGTTCGGATTAGGATCTCTAATCCGAACTACCGGTACACCTCGTTCCACGAGGATTACCGGTAGTTCGGATAGAAAGCCTCATCCGAACTACCTACTCCGAGGAGTACCGGTAGTTCGGATTAGAAAGCCTAATCCGAACTACCTACTCCGTGCTGCGTGTAGCCGCGGGCACGGATTCCGAACTACCGGGGCTTTAAAAATGGCGGCGCCCGGCAAGATGCAAATGAAGCCCGGGATATTTAAATCCCGGGCTTCATTTGCAACTTCGGTTGCCTACATTAACCACCCTAGTTTGAACTAGGGTGGTAGTGTAGACATACCCTCAGTCTCTAAGGTGCCACAGGAGTCCTCGTTGTTTTTGCAGATATAGGCTAACACAGCAACCCTCCTGAGACTTTTCAGATGCTTAAGTTTGCAGGACTAAGATCTGAAATTCTCACTCAGTCCAGTCTCCCTACTATTCTTGCACAGTCTTCAGCCCCTCTCAGCTTAGAAATAACAGATGCATGAATTCAGACAGGTTTGCTGGTTGTGTAAAGGTCTTCACCCTAGAGCAGAGGCCGGCAGGTCTATCCCTTCTTTCCTTCCTCCCTTCCTTCCTTTCTTCCATAAAAATTCTATGGCTCATCTGTGTCACAATCACTGTTTTTCTGCATATCCAGTAGGTGAAAAGACAGGGCTGGTGTTAGAGGGTTGCAAGCAGTGAAATTGCCCAGGATCTCATGCTGCAAGAGGCCCTGCAAAGCTAAGCTGCTTTGGCTTCAGCTTCAGACCCAGGCAGTGGGCCTCTGCATTCTGCCCAGGACCCAGCGAGTCTAATACCAGTCCTGCTCTTCATTGTATTTTGGTGGACCTCCTGAACCTGCCTGCAGCCACCTAAGGGGCCCTGAACCTCCTGCTTGAGAACTGCTACCTTCGAACATCCCACAGAAAAAAAAAAGGTTGCAGGTAAGAAATTACATCCAGATATATGCTGCAACATTATACTGCCAGCATTCCGCCTCCCCGATGTGTGGGGAAGAGCAGGGAAGGAGCCTGAGACAGCTGCAAAAAACAGGAAAGCGATAATAACCATGAGAGACAAGATGGGCGAGGTAATGTCATTTATTGGACCAATTTCTGTTGGTGAGAGAGACAAGAAGAACAGCTCCATGTAGCTCAAAAGCGCATCTCTCTCATCAACGGAAGTCAATACAATAAATGCCCTTGTCTCTCTAATACCCTGAGACCAGCATGACTACAGCAATGCCGTATATAATAACCAGGAGTCAGGTGTGGCCAGAATTTGTCAGACAGACCTACAAGGTACAGTTGGATGCTGCAAAAAGCCGTGTGACTCAGCAAGCTGCTCTCCCCTCTGAATCAATGCCGACCCTGGTGCTATGCTGATCTCTACTATGTATTTTACAGAGTTTGTGCATCTGTCTGTGTGCCTGGTGTCTGACCGTCCATCTGTGAGTTCATTTGTTCAAGAACTCCACCTAAACAGTGAGACCAAGGACCACCAAATTCAGTAGGCAGCTTCCTCTTACCCTAACTTAAAGCAAGGTCAGGGTTCGGTTGTGTCAGAACAATGGGATGTGCCTGGAATGTGACTGTTTCTCCTCAAACAGAACGGGAGGGGTGTGATCGCAGGGACTGTTATATCCCAGAATGATCACAGGGAGGCAGCAAGTGCCCCAGCCCAGGGAAGCAGTCGCTAGCCAGCAGTATGGCTCCCACTACCCTGGCCTGCCCCAGGGAGCAGCCACCAGACAGGCTATGCAGCCCTCGCTGATCTTGGGCTGGCCCTGGGGAGAAGCTGATGGGCAGGCTTCATGGCCCCATCCCTAACCATCGGCTGCCCCCACCCCCTGTCTTGAGCCATCACCACTTACTTTGAGCCCCCCCATATCTCCCAACTCCATGCCCTGACTCCTGCACACACACCCCACACCCGCAACCCTCTGCTCTGAGCCCTTCCTTAATGACCCAAGCAATGCTGGGTCAATGTGCTAATTCTATTCTGTAATGTAAGGGTTTCATCACGGTAATACGTGAGCGCCAGTGCTCCAGAGGGGCCCTACAGAACATGTGCTGCAGGGAGAGGTGTGAGCGGCTCAGTAGGGGGCTGTCTCCCAACTGAGTCATTGCTGGCCCAATATTCCAGTTTGGGACTAAGAGGTGCTGTGCTGCAGGGAGTGAGGGGAGCAGCTCAGCAAGTCCGTCTCTTCCATTTGCTCCAACACCCTCTCAGGTTTTTCAGATCCTGAGACTCTGGGGAACGCTGTGGTTTATAATTCCAGAAGTGGATGTCTCCCTTCCACCGTCACCTGTCTCTCGTCCCCTCTTTGCCCCTTTCACTTCTACCTTCGCTAACATCTGCATTTAAAATCCTCATGCTGTTTCCGCTTTGAGTCCAAGTTGACCTAATTCCACTGGGAGCAGCAGTAAACATCAAAGCTGGAGCCTTTCTGAGGGAGATAAAGGGAGTCTGTCTCCCAGTGGGTCTATTTACCACATGGAGTTGATTCTTCTTTGTAGGGGGTGAATCTGAATCTCACTGCTGCAGACTAGAGGACTCACAGCTTCATCTGCTGTTGATCAGAAATGGATCCCAGTTGCTTGGAGCGAGGTCCAGCAGGTATTGGCTGCTGCTGGGTAAGGATCTGAAGCCCAAAGAATCCTGGATAGACGGCAAGCCCCCAATCTCTCTGTCCTCACTATGAATAAACATTGCTTCACTGCGGAGCTGGGATTTAAGTCCAGTGTCTTTTCCTAAATCTTGCTAAGCATTTTCAGGGCTCAGGTCTAGCGGGGCATGGTTATAAAGACCAGCTGCAGGAGTGCCAGTGTTCAGGAGGCTTAGATGGACTCCAGAGCTGACGTACATATAAAACCAAACAAAAAACCTCCATGAAGGTTACAAATTCAAGCACATACAACAGTTAGGGAATTCCACAATTGAGATTGGGGGTCCTGAAGCCACCCAGCCCTGTTGAAGGAAAAAGCTCTGCTAAGGGAGATCTGCAGAAGAGAGGCTAGTGCTCGTGGCAGACATAAGGGCAAGGAGGAGAAAGGTGCAAGGGGAAAGGCCCTGCCAGAGACC